GAGACATACAAGCCACCAATTCCGACAATGGTCCGGGTACGTTAAGCTCTAGGGGACTTCATGCTCCCATTGAAGGCCATCACATATAAAGCTTTAGAAGCTGACTTATTTCGTTTTGTGCATACAGGCTACTGCGATTCAATACCTCCGCCGCTTTTACCTAACCAATTCACCCATGACATACCATCCAAAATCCATCATGGCGTGTGCGCTTTTCGTCGCAACCAAAACCGATAATTACTATATCTCTCTTCGGCAATTTGCAGATGGAATTCCCGGTGACACAACAACAGAGGATGTCATCGCACCGGAATTCCTACTCATGCAGGGACTCCGTTTCACCTTTGATGTACGGCATCCATTCCGGGGACTTGAAGGCGGCGTCATGGAACTACAAGCCATCGCACAAGGTCAAGGCCAGCCAGCACCCCATCTACCACATGAGACTGCGGAAGATCTCCAACAAGGATTGCTGTCCATCGCACCTCCTCCCGTCCCATCCTCCTCCATGTCAGATCGAATCGCTCGAGCCCACGGCACAACTCGTGAGCTGCTGAAATCCGCTGCGCAGATGACAGACGCCTACTTCTTGTACACGCCATCCCAGATCTGGTTTTCCGCCTTTTTACTGGCAGATCGTCCGCTAGCCGAGTTTTTGCTGGATGTCAAACTTGGTGGTCCTGTCACAGCCACAATCCCTGCCCCCGAAACAGACGAAAATGGGCTTGTGAACCCTCTATATGAAATCCGCTCTAAGCTGCATCACGTTTTGACTGAATGCTCTGCTCTTCTGCAATCCTATACACCCCTCTCCTCGGACCCTGCGCAAATGAAAAGCCTCAAGCGCATCGCAAAGAAACTATATCATTGTCAGAACCCCGAGAAGGTGAATCTGGCTGCCGCTCGTAAACGGGATATAGCCCAGCCGTCTACCGCTGTTCAAAGTGACACTGGAATGGCCACCTCTGAGAGCGAAACAGAACGCCTAGCGAAAAAGCGGAAATTGGAACAAGAACAGATCGTCCGTCAGGATGGTGATGTTTTTGGTCCGGAGTTGGTCACTCAGCGAACCAAGCCGTAATGATCATGCGAGCCATCGAATCTAAATACACAAATATTTTAATATCAAATACCAGAACGGTCACACTTCTAGATGCAGCAAATGTCAGGCTCGATTATACAGTTCCAATTTTCCAGGCCTTAGATGAAGCCATTAGACCTTTCGCTCTATATAGATCTAAAGTTTGAAAGTTTATGTCCGACAAAAGAAATGGATTCATTCCTGTTATCATCGGATAGAAACAGCATTCGATACTATATCAATGGTCGTAATTGACACTGACTATTGCTCTCTCTAGATCTCCGAAGTGGACCATCCCTATAGACCTACTCTACAACTCCATAACCATAAAATAAGAATCATACACATAACTTATATTCAAAAAGGCAAAGTATCCAAAATCTCAACTAGCAAATCCGCAAGTATCAACGAATCTCCACCGTTAGCAAGTTCCTCCACGAGAACAGTCAATTGCCATTTAATCTCAAAGCAAATCTCCTTAAGAGAAAGCGGACCCCAGCGCGCACGCACGCGGTTATCACCCCTGATCCCAAACTCGCCGATCTCGCCCAGGAATCCAATCTGAACGATGCGCTCGCTGAGTTCCTCCAGCCGTGTCGCGATATTCTCTCTATCAGGGCTGGGGGATGGGCTCAGGAGAACGAATACTTGACACTGAAGCTTGTGAGTGAAGGTTTCGCAGGCTTTTATATAGATATCCTTGAAGTTCCCGGGGTTTATGCGAGATCCGTCCATTGTGTTGGTGTGGCGTATGTATCTATGTATGCAAGCTCTTATATAGAGTGAGTTAATATGGGATGGGAAGCGTGGGTGTGTATTTATGTATTTCCTGTTAGCGATGACTTGAATTTGGTTCTTTGTTTGAGAGACAATGAGGGCTACCATGGCCATTGTTGATCTTCTTTGTTTCTTGAGATATCACCACTGGTGAATAACAAGAAAGAGATGAAATGCCAATTCTCGAATGATTCAGCCGATCAGGGTCATAAGAGCATTGTTGATGGGGAAGATTGTCGACATAGACCAAGACATAGACAAGACATAGACAAAGCTCAAATCACGTATACAAGTAGCACTTCACGCGAAGACAGATAATACAGCTTATTCAACAAACACGACGGATATAATTCAGCGTAAATGGCATCCCTTATATTCACCTCGGAGAGGACTAGATACTCTATGAAGGATGCATAAGACAAAAAAACAGATCGAATCAAGTCCAATCGAAAAAGGGGTAGTTCATAGCAATAAAACGCAAAGGTCCAATCCTCCACCCAAAATCTATTCGGACAGGAGGGAAAGGACAAACGATCTAACGGACAAAAAGAAAATAAATGAAAACCATCCCAACCCAAGGAACTTTTTGTTGTGTCCCTGCGGGAACCAAACTTTTAGTGCCATGTGGGCATTTGTATTCCTTCAGTTCTCGTCTAGCATTTCGTCATCAAAGGGGGAAAAAAAGGAAGTTGAACAAGTTGAAACATGAAGAAAGCCCTTAAACGGCACCGGAAGACAACATCTTGTTACGGAGGTGGTTCTTGTAGTCACCGATGGAGCCATTCCAGCGGCGGATAGTCTTGTCTTCACAGACCATGATGTCCTTGGCAATCTTGTCGAGGAGACGGAAATCGTGAGAGACGACGACGACACCACCGCTGTAGGCGTTGATGGCATCGGCCAAAGAATCGATGGTGGGGATATCGAGACCGTTGGTAGGCTCGTCAAGAAGAATCATGTTGGGGGATTCAATGGCAAGCAGGGCGAAGACAATACGAGACTTCTGGCCCTCGGACAGAGTACCCATGAGGGCAGTCTGGCCCTCACCGCTCAGACCGTAGCGGCCGAGCTGCTGGCGCCAGTACTGGTAGTCCTGGGACTTCTCGGGGAAGCGGTCACGGACGAACTCAAGGGAAGACTTGGTGAGATCGAGCTGCTCCGAAGAGTGCTGACTGTAGACACCAAGCTTCAAGTGAGTGTGACGGGAGACACGGCCACCGATGGGGCTGAGCTTGCCGGTCATGAGACGGAGCAGAGTAGACTTGCCGACACCGTTGGGGCCGACCAGGGCGGTACGGGAGTCCATGTCGACACCGAGATCGAGGTGCTCGTACAGGGTGTCATCCCAGTTACCGGAGTAAGAGAAGCTGACATCGTCGAAGGAGAGAACTGGGGGAGGAAGCTTCTCAACATCGGCGAAGCGGAAGGTGAAGACACGGTCGGCAACGACGGGCTGAATGAAGCCATCGGCCTCCATCTTGTCGAGAATCTTCTGGCGAGACTTGGCTTGACGCACCAAGTTAGCGTAGGTACCAGCGGAAGCAATGAACTTCTTGATGTGCTGGATTTCTTCCTGCTGCTTGGTGTAGGCCTTGGCCTGGTTGGTCTCCTGCTCGCTACGGGTCTTGTGGTAAGAATCGTAGTTACCACCGTAGTAGAGGAGCTTCTGGCCACGCATGTCAAGCATGGTGGTGCAGACACCGTTCAGGAAATCCATGGAGTGAGAAACCAGGATCAAAGTACGATCCCACTTCTTGAGGTACTCCTCGAGCCACACGCAAGCTTCCAAGTCCAAATGGGCAGTGGGGTCATCAAGCAAGAGCAAAGAGGGCTTGACGAACAGGGCCTTGGCGAGGGCAACACGCATACGCCATCCACCGGACATGTCCTTGGTCTTCTTGTTGATGGTGTGCTTGTTGAAGCCGAGACCGGTCAAAATAAGGGAGGCACGAACGTGGAAAGTGGAAGGATCCATCTTGTCCATGCGCTGTATAGATAGTTAGCTTCTGCTTGCAACCAAGAGTAAAACTTGAAAAATACGTACGTCATATAGGTCTTCAAGGATAGGGCTATCAGGGCCGTCGTTCTCAAGAACTTCCTCGGCCTTTCTCTCCATATCTTCCAACTGGCGTTCAGCCTCGCGAACAACCCAGTCAAGGGCACCGAAGTCGGTGGGGGGTGCACCCTCGTTCAGAAGGTAGATATCGATGTGCTCGGGGACGGGGTACTCGCGGGCAGCAATGGACTTGAGGATAGTGGACTTTCCGCAACCGTTCTCACCGAGGAGACCGTAACGACGGCCGAAGGTCAACTCGAGGGTGGAATCGGTGACCAGGACCTTTCCGTGGAACACAAGGGAGCAAGAGGTGATCTTAACGTCGCGAGAGGCGGGCAGAGATGACAGCACACCGGTGGTGACACGATCGGACAGACCGTGCTTATCCAACTGGGCTGTGAGCTTATCAACGGCGGACTGATCCTTGGTGGCAGGCGCATCTCCGACGATGGGGTTTCCGTGGCCATCGAGTTCGACCTTGACGTCCTTCTTGGGCTTCTTCTCGTCGGCACGCTTGGCCATGCGGGCAGCCTTCGAGGCGGAAACCATGGTTGCGTGTGTGACGGTATAAAAAAAAGGGGGTTTTAAAGAGAAAAGTAAGGGACGGAAGGCAAAGGGAGGGAGAGGAGAAAGGATGACAATGCGAAAAGAGATTGAAGAGAAAAGCAAAAAGGCTGAGTGGATCGCCTGGCGGGGCGGACAGGAAATGGAGGGGCGTAGAGCAGTGGAGTTTGGTGGTTTGCCCTTATCGATAGAATCCTATCGATTATGAGTTTGAGAGAAAATAGAAAAATTGAGAGTAAAACGTACCGTTTGCTCTTATAAATTTATTCCTTTTTGCCTCTGTAGTGTGTGTGTTGGGCACAAGGTCAATTAAGAAATTTTAAACCAAAAAAAAAATCAATCAGTGGGCCGTTGGACATAAGTGGATGCTGATTGGGAGAGACGTCACCGCATTAGATGCCTGAGGTGTCTAATTTGCCACTTTGATTTGTGTGATACGCGACTGATAAGGTATGATAAGGCACAAGGGGGAAAGAGAGGGCTATATTTGGAAGAGATAACATGATATTTAATACGATTTCCTCAAATTCTGTCACTGATCCTCTCCAACACTTCTTGTTCCTCAACAGAAAGCGATATTCCATCCGGCAAGGAAATATCACCACGTTCTATTATCAACCGCCGAGGAACATCAGTCAGACTATCCTCATAATGACTAGGAACACTCCCCGTTTCCTTATGAGTAGCCTTTTCGACATCCCCCCGAGACCGCGACAAAGGGTGTGATGTCCACCAGTACAGCGGAAATCGACGCTGCACATTGTTAATGATCACGGCCGCAGCCTGCATAAGCCCGAGCCCAAGCAACATGACTGGGAAAAGAAACCAGCCCAGAGCAACAGTTTGAGCGTGTGTCACTGCCAGAACAGCAGTCGCACCTGCGGGCGGGTGTGTAGTATTGGTGAGAATCATGACAGCCGTGGTAAGACCGCAAGCAAGAGCACCACCAAGCTCAGTATACGCTTCAGCATGAGGGTTCAAGGCGAACAATTTCGATATCCCGACACCGAAGAAACAGGCGATAACTTGGCTCAGGACCGCATTTCGTGGTTGTGCGAAGGGTGATTCGATGGCACCGAATTCAATAACTGCCGCCGCACCCTATTATCAAAGAATCATCGAGTCAGCCCTATGTCGCTTTTCTTATTCTAGCCTGTTCCCGCATCAAATATCAAACCACAACTTACAAAACTGCCAATAATCACTGGCGCATCACGCGCTTCAAAAGAAGGTACCCGTTTCGTAACAGATGCCACCAAAGCCACACCGCAAAACGCTCCAACCAACGACCATAAGGCGACCACGATGTTGCCTATTGGCTTGGGTGGTTTATCCCGATGGCCTAGCATATAGGCGACAGGTCGTGGTATGAGATGCCATCGTGGCGCCGGCACGAATGGATTCACATACCGATCGATGTCGAAATTCCAGGTTGTCGGGTGGGACAACGTCACTCGTCCATGCGGGGATGGAGCCATGCTGCACTTCTGTTGCACTGAGATACTATGTATGCTCTAAGGTCTGTATGTTTCTTAGGTTCCTGTTTATCTCAGTCCGAACACTAGGAGCTCAAACCCTTTCGGGAATATAAAGGAAGAACCTCCATCAGCCTTATACCCGTGGACCGGTACTTCTTAGTGAGCAAAACCTCATGTGTGCCGTTAAAGGCGCAACTCTGCTCTCTTTCTCCGCGGATGTCAACTTTCGGATATAGGGCTTGATGCCAGGCCCAATTTCTTCTTGTCCACTCAGCGGATTTACGTTTGGTAACATAAATTACGGTTTAGGACTAGCGGCTTGGCATAGCGTCATAAATCGGAGATGCATCTGACTGACATCGGGATGTTTCCTATTGCATACATGTCTACGGAATACTCCGAGTATACTAACATATATACTGGTTTCGATTCAAAAATGGAGTTGATTCCAAAATGACCAGCTCTCCCGGCTATTGGCTATTGGATATATGCCTGGTCAATAACAGAGCCCTCATCTATACTAAAAGAATCATGAGATGCATTCATACTAAAGAATAAAGAAATCAAATCTCACCCCCAATATCCCGCAAACACTCCTCTCCCTCCCCAATAACCAATGGCAACCCCACACACCAAGCCCGCGGATACTCCATCCCCCACTTCGCCATAAGCGCTTTCAGATCCGCCTCATGGCCAGGGACAACATTAACAAAAAGCCTATCACCGTGCGATCGCGGCTCAGAATGCACCGCACCCTCTTCCTCGCCCACCCGGAAGAAAACACACTCCCCCACCGACGCCTGCACAATCCCATGTCCGCCCAGCTCAACAATAAGCTGTTCGCGCACCGACTCCGCCGCCATGGCGCAGCCGACACAGCGCACAGAGACGCACATGTGGTCGGGGTCTGCGGCACGGGCAGCTGTTTTGGCGGCTTGTTGCGTGGCGCGTGCTAGGCGATTTGTCGCGGGTGGGATGAACAGGGTTCCGGGGCCTAGGAGGGTTGTTGTGAGTTTCCAGTTTGTTGGGGTCGGGCTTGTAGAGGGGATTTGGGCGGCTGGGGTTGTAGGTGGGTGGTGATGGTGCTCGGTTTGGGGGTTGGAGGGTGAAATTGGGGTTGAGAGGTCTTGGTTTGTTGGTCCTGTCCAGGTGGATTTGAGTAGATTAGTGATTGGTGAGAAGAGTGATTGACGCTTTGCGTGGTTTATTGGTGGTTGGAGGGGAGAGAAGAATAAATCATCTGTGTGCCAGCGTGGGGTGTCGAATTCGTCCGAGCCTTTGCTTGCTCTGATTGTGAGCCAGTAGTGAGACTGGTTGTTTTTGGTCAGGAAATCGTGGACGTATGCCAGGAAGGAGAATAAGGAGGGCATTATTGAACCACCGATTGTGGCTTCTGCCCAGGTGTTAAAAGAGGATGGCAGGTTACATGATTCGAGGGTCAAGAGGGGTCCGCAGTAAGTCCATGAGGACGAAGTGTTAAGGGTAATTGGATCATCTGTTGGCAGTAGTTCTTTAGACTCGACAGATGGATATTTGACTGGGTATGGGAAGAATCGGAAATCTGGTAGCGATTTGACGTCCATCACAGTTATCTCTTAGGTGAAGAAGTTATTCCTTGGGGGCCTGTGGGACAATTTGAAAGGCTCCTGGGCCTCATCTGTACAGAAGATCGTCTTTCCATGTCCATTTTAGAGCCAGCTTCTTGCCGCCTTTTGGCCACTAGGTAAAACTGAGCACGTCCCGCTCGACTTCCTTGAAAAGTCAGGTGATCTCGGTTCATTATATAATCGATATTCCCCGGGCGGGGCCCGGGGCCGACCTGAATTACTAGGTATACATAGTACGAAGTGCATGCACGTGACTGATCTGAACAGCCCGTGCTGACATCTACCTAGCCTCCAGCCCTGGCTGAGCCTCATAAAAGCGGCGGCATTTTGGGGCCCCTTGTTAGGCAGCAATATGGAAATTATTTCCACGTACTCTGTACGCGAAGATTCTTTGTTGCTTTTGTGTAACAATGCTAATTGTTTCCTTTGAATAGTTGCTAATTGAAAAGGTATTTACTGCATTTAATGTAGAGGAGCAAACAATTGTATCCAAGACTTCAATATATATTGCCTTTCTCTAGTAGATCATAATCATCATTGCATTTACAAACCCAAGCTTAGACGTCCAAAGTACGTCCAGTACGGGAACTCTCACGAGCCAACTCGATCAAACGAATGACCTCGCGAGCCTCCACACCACTGGCAGGGAGCTCACCCTCGCCATTGAGAGCGCGGACGAGCTTGCGGTAGTATTCAGTGTAAGTGGGGGGCTCCACGGTGGGAACTACCTCCTTGACGGGCTTGCCGTTCTGGATCGTAGTCAGAGTACCGTAACGCTCGCTGGGCTCACGACCGTAGCCCTTATCCTGGGGCATGATGCCGGCCTTGAGCTGATCTTCTTGGATATCAAGGTGGTACTATACAAATAGGTCAGTTACCACTTTTTCTTTATATAGCAGTGATCTGCGCAGGTAGATGCTCTTACCTTTTTGAAGCTACCTTTGTCACCGCGCACCCAGAAGCGCAGCTGCTCGTCCTCGGGGCTGACCACGGTCGCCTTGGCGGTAACCATAGAACCATCGGCATAGTGCAGCAGGACGGTGAAGGAGTCCTCGTATGAAGAGGAGGTGACACCACGGGCGGAGCCAATGAAGCCGGTCACCCGCTTGGGGAGTCCGAGCAGGTGCACGGCCTGATCCAGAAGGTGGGTTCCAAGGTCATAGATAGCGGAGCCACCGGGGATGACCTTGTTCTTCCACTTGTGAGAGTCGGCGGCCGGCACCTCGGGACGGTGGCGGTCGAAGTGAGTTTCATACTCGGAGATGCGGCCGAGCGAGCCGTTCTTGACGAGCTTGGAGAGGGTCACGAAGTCGGCATCCCAGCGGCGATCTAGGACAGACATGAGTAGGGGCTTTGATAAATAGGGTGACGAGACATACTCTGGAACACGGCAAGCTGTTTGTTGTTCTTCTTCGAAATAGTGATGAGGTCATCGGCTTCCTGGGTGGTGGGGGTGAAGGGCTTCTCGCAGACAACTGATATACACGTTAGTTAGTTTATCTGTGCAAATTACTACTTGGGACTTCTAGACACTTACCGTGCTTGCCAGCCTCCAGCGCAAGCTTGGATAGCGCGAAGTGAGAATCGGGAGCAGTAGTAATGATCACGACGTCAACCGCAGGGTCTTGGACCATCTCCTCCGCGGTACGGAAAGACTTCACACCGGGGTGGTCCTTCTCGGCATCATCATCCTGCTTCGGAGTGCGCTGGACAATTGCGTAGAGCTTGAGGTCGGGGACCTCCTTCACGAAGGGAATGTGGAAGATCTTCGCGCTGAAGCCGTAGCCAACAACGCCAACATTGTAAGTCTTGCTAGCCATGGTGAAATATTTGTGATTTAATTGAGGGGGAAATCAGCTAGGAGAGGGACTAATTTATATGGCCCCGGAAATCATTTAGCGGGGGAGAAGGAAGGTCCTGGCGACGGCAACGTTGGATCGGGTGGGTCCAAAAGCCGAGTCGGGTTCCCGAAGTGGCAATGTTCGACTCTACAATACTCGGACTTCTATGTATGCTTGATAATCATGTAGAGTATCTTGTATTCTTCTTGGATATCTCGGCTGCCGCTTTCCAGTTGCGTTGGCCATTTCTCATCTATGCCTGAATCCCCACACACCTCGTAATCTCGATGGCATCCTGTCAATTGTTAGCGAGGATTCATTCTCGGAAAATACTTCAAACTCACCCGCAATCCCGGGGGTTGGCATAGCTGGCTCTGGTATACCAAGTTCGGGTTCCCGACAAAATTGAAAGTGGGCACGTCGTCTTTACCCACAAAGGACTGCACCGTTTTGTCGGCCATCCCGGTAATGTTATATGCCTGGGAAGGTCCTTCCTTAGCGGCTTCAATCTTCTGTTCGACAGTGCTCCGGACGTATTCCAGATATGGCGGGTTGCCCGGATGTATCACGTTATCAGCGGCGAGCACGGAACCAGGGACAATAGCCCCGAGATGCTCACACAGCTTGACGTCAGTGGTGTACGCTGGTTTGTAATGATCGATGAAGAGAAGTTCCACTTTTGTCACGTCACCCGAGGTGATTAATTTGTGTAGCGACTCATCGCTTCGGCCGACGATGATACGCACAAAGTCGCGCAATCCAGCTAGCTCAACGAGCATATTGGCAACTGCGGCGAACTCTGGATTCAACTCTAGACTCAAGTAGCGCTCACCGCCGTTTCGTCGGACTGCGTCGCCGAATAGGATCGCAGAATAGCCCACGTAGCAGCCGAGCTCGATCATGGTCTTTGGCTTGAGTTCATCGATGAGTTGGGTGATGACTTCGCCCTTTTCGGGGCCAACATTTATTAAACGGTAGTCTTTCTCAAACTCGTGAATCAGATCGATCACTTTTTGGGGATGTCCACGGATTTCATCCAGGTTTGGCTGCCCATAGACGTAATGCAGGAGCTTCAGCTCCTTGCCGGTGTTGTTCTAGAGTACGAGTTAGTGTCATTTCTCACAATTAAAGGGTCAGAATTTAATTCCTACCGAAGGAGGTGCAGACATGACGTGAATTTAGAGCAAGGGAATCAGATAAATGATCTCAGGACAGGTGGACATGCGAAATTATAAATGGCCTCGGGGATAATAAACATTGGGAATACTTCGGGCAAAGACGGTAAATCCGAGCCCGACCACTCACCATTCATTAATGTTATTAACATTCCAATCCCTTCAGGTAATGCCGAGAGCACAAGTCGGAAACCTGATCCCATATAATTGCCGGACATTTCCCATGGAGATTAGATCCGAAAGACCCCCACTATTAGCTCCCCAGAGATCTTTTGATTCAAAGAATAGTGCATCGTCACACCGAACTAGATCTGCAGGCCAAGCCCCCCAATTAACATCCCCAACTCACATTTTCACTTGTGACGATGTCCTATACTCTAGGCCTTTCGAGGTGCATTATTCTCTAGTCAAATGAGTAAACACATCAATCTCATTACGGCGAGACATAGACTCAGCATGTCGATCAAATCCGCCAAAGCTTCAGTCTCACCGGGGACCTTGTCACGAGTATTCTGGCATCTCCTTCGAATATGTCTTTCATTTTCGCTATTGTTTGTTGATAACACCATTCTCGTCGTCGCGGTATTTTTATCCTATCTCCGAACAACCAATCGACAAGCGACACAAAGGAATGTGCCGTTTTATCCGAAAACAGTCCTCATCACGGGCATAGGTACGGTGCACGGCTTGACCCTAGCAAGGTCATGGGCTGTACAAGGCCACCATGTGGTTGGGGCCGATGTTACAGACCTAGACCTACCCGTGCGCTCCGGCGGGAGTATGTCCAGGGCCCTAGTGTCATTTTACCGGATTCCCAAGGCCCATTACATCTCCCGGTTACTCGACATCATCCACCGCGAAAAGGTTGACTTGTGGATTCCATGCTCACCCAAGGCATCCTCCATTGAAGATGCGACAGCCCGACAGGTCGTTGAGAGTCGCACTAACTGCAAGTGCATCACACTCGATACCGACTTGGCCGCTTGCTTCGCCCACCCTGATTCTTTCAAGCAGTATGTGACCGAGAGAGGTCTTCCTATGCTTGAGTATCATAGGGTCCAATCCCGCGACTCTGTGCACAAGATCTTAAACCGGTCGCCCGCCAAAACCTACCAGATCTCCCGAGCGACCCCATCTGCAAATGAGAAGGCTATGCTCTTGCCGAGGCGTACGCCGAGCAAGACTTACACGAAGATCAGCGAAATCAATATCTCCGAGGACCGGCCTTGGATTCTACAGCAACAATCTCGTCTTGGAGAGCTATTCGCAGATCTACTCGTTGTGCGTGGCCACGTTCAAGCCATCAAGGTTCGGCTTTCGGATTCTGGCTCCTCTACGTGGGGTGCCTCGCGTCTAGATGAGGCTCTGGCCGCTTCGGTTCATAGGCTGATGCAGACATTGGCAGCCAAAGGCGGTATTCGCTTGACAGGTCATCTCTCTGTCAGACTCTCAGTCGATGAAGAGTTCGACGCGCATTCTGTCCGACACACTATCTACATCGCCGGTTGTACACCTGGCGCTAGAGCTGTCGATAACCTACTGTATAATATACCTTGCCCGATTGCAGGTTATCTATCTGTGTTCCATTCCAGTTCAATCGATACAGCCAACATCGCAGCGACACTATCATCAACCCGTTCAGCGCCAACATTTGCCCGAGCTGCAATTCTTCCCGCTGCTTTCCTACAGTTTTCGTTGTTTCACTTTACACTCACAGCTCTTGAAGTTGTAGAGGCAGAACTAGTGAGGCTGCTGTTCTGGAAAGATCCCCTGTTCTCTTTTCTTGATCCGGTTCCCTGGTGGTGGCAAGTACATGTCTATCAACCATTGCGAGAGATCTGGGTGTTGATGAAACAGACACGAGAAGCGGGATTGACTTCCCTTTGACTATGTATGTTAGCACGAGTATACGAGAAATGAGACTATGATGTAAAGTGACAGGCATACGCCAAGCAAATGTGTGGCGGAGTTCCCGAAATAGTAACGGGCTGTCGCCTGGGCAGCGGATGTGGAGGACATACGTATGCCCCCGAAACAAGAGAGGGTAAGGCAGATACACAAATCGTCAGATTGGATATCTTCGAAACACTTCAATTTAAATATCTCTACCGTTGTGATTTTAATAATTTCAAAGTTGCGACATTGCGACGGGGGAAACAAAACAAAACAAAACAAACCGATACTTTTCTCCACGGAGCCTAGCCTGGCCAAGATAGAGAGACCCTCCCAAGTCTCATTCTCCAGGTTTCTGACTCTGTTCTTGTCTCATCTCTCACATTCTGTGTGTCCCGTATGACTTCACGATAGACTATCTCTTCACTTCGAGACCAACCCCTCCCTTCCCCTCGGGTGAATACGAAAAGCGCAACACCCTTGCAGCGCTCCTACACACAAAATCATGTTTCAAATGCCGCGGCCTTCAGGCGGAAGCCTCGGACGGACAAAAAACATCATACATTTCATACAAGGATTCAGTATCTTCCTCGCATGGGCCATAACTATCGCTATATGGACCAAAGGAGGCAGCGGAATCGATGGACGCACAGGCTGGTACTGGGGTCTGGTGAGTTTGACATTCCTGCATTTCTAATACAAAAGAGAGCTCTTTTATTCTGACATATGATCGGATGGTAGTGCTGGTTGAGTATTCCTGGCCTGGTCTACCTGGTGGCGGTGCCGATGTGGCCTCGAGCCCGACGCTTCGGTAACGTCTATGCCTTCGCCTGTGTCGATATCCTCTATTCGATTCTCTGGCTCAGTGCCTGGATTTGTCTCGCTTCCTACGTCGCCCAAGGAAAGTCCAAGGGGGCGAGTAGCGACGACGACAAGAAGTCCGACACCAAATCCACCACCAGGAGAGCCGAGGAGGAGACGAAGGAGAAGACCGGATGCGATAATTGGGCATACGGAAGCGCCACCAAGTGCAAGCTGAGCACGGCAACTACAATCATCGGTGTTATCATCTTGTACGTGAATTCCTCTATATCCGAGACGATGAATCCTTGAATGAAACTGACAGAAAAAAAGCGTCCTCTTCGTCATCACCGCCTGGATGTCATTCCGCAACGTGATGCACTTCCGCCGCACCGGCACCCTCCCCGACGCCGTCTCCGACCCCACCTTCGCCGCGCAGAGCAAAGCTGCCTTCTCGTCGAACCCAGCCCACGACTTCGAGGAGGACGAGGATAACTTCCGTTCCGGCCGAGGCGGCGGCATGGGCGCCTCGTCCCGCGGCGATCAGGACGAGGACTACGCCCTCCTGCACCAGAGCGAGGTAGATGACCTAGGCAACGCACACGGCCGGACCGCGATGCAAGGCTCCTACGATCCCACCGCTCCCGCGCCCGGAGGCATCCTCCATGATTATAACAGCAGCACCGGCTACGGTGGTGCGCATGGTCAGCACTACGTGGAGCCGTCTACTCAGTACAATCCCTCGGATTACACCCCGTCTGAGTACACCGCTCCCACTGGGTTTGGTGGCTCGTCGGTAAGTGGGTACGGAAGAAGGCCGAGTTGAGTAAATAGTGTTGTCAGTGTAGATGGAGGAATTGCTCAGTGAAATACCCGGAGGATTGATGAATCGTCTTGCTTTTTTTGCGTCTTGAACATTGACCATTGAGTGGTGTTGGGCGCACCGCTGTTTACTCGGGGCTGATGCCCTTGTCTTTACCATGTTTCTTATGGGTCTTTTAGCCCTGGGATTACGATTGTATGTCCTGTTTTGATTTCGTTGGATCTAGCAAAATATAGATGTATGCATTGTAAAATTATATGTCCTGGTGGTGCTTTCTATGTAGATTAAAATACATTATAGGCAACATATGTAGACGATATCTCAAAAGGCTGAGATCTCATAAATCCATTGTAAAACATTGTCCTTATTAGAGAGTATGGAGCTATAAATTACTTGCTTTTGCTTCCTATCACTACCAATATTCCTCAGGTCTTACCTTGCTCAAGAAAGAGATATAGATAGGACAAGGTACCAATATTCTGCCACCGCTTTCCATATCAGTGGATTTATGGACAGCTTGCCCTCTTGCCATCATCAACTGTTGACAAGTACAATCCCGAATATTGACCTCAAAGTGAACCGTGCTTTGTTGAACACCTATACAGTACATCCTGAACTGTACCTTGTATGAATTAGCCCATTCCCCCATCAGACCTTATCATTCCACCCCAAAACACCTCCCCCGTCACACCGCAGCACATATACTAACAATCCCAAGAAGCAACACCGACCTTACAACCCAAACCCGAGACCTACGGTCTCCCCAACCTCAAAAATGGCCAGCGAAATTGATCTCTACAACCAATACCCATTGTACATGGACCCAAGCACGCAAGCACTCTCACTCACGCATTCATCCGGCCAAACACCCTCCCAAACAGCCGCAATCAACACCGAACTCGAAGAACTCAATCAACTACACCGCTCTCTACTCACCCTCGACCCACCCAACATCCCCCCCGCGCCTCTCCCCGTAAACCCCAAGCGCAGCGCACAGATCTCCAAACTCCGCGACAGCGCCAACGCCGCTCACCGCAAATCCAACTACGAGGAGGCAATCAAGCTGTACTCGTACGCCATCGACATGGGACTCAGCCGGCCGGGCTGGGAGCCTGTGGGCGTTGCGCGCGAGGAATTGTCGGGTCTTTATGCGAATCGTGCGCAGGCGCAGATGGCTCTCCAGGCTTGGCCCGAGGCGCTCGTTGATGCTAAGGCTAGTGTTGACTCGAAGCCTGTTGGGAATGTTAAGGCCTGGTGGCGGATTGCTAAGTGTCTTGCGGAGATGAGTCGCTATGAGGAGGCGCGCAAGTTCTTGCATAAATCGCTTGATATTGAAGGGAAGGATTCCGAGGGCGGGAAGGAGTTGTTTGCGTTGCTCGGGGAAGTTGATCGGGCTTTGCTGCGGGGATTGTCAGCGTAGAATTGCTTTTTGTTTCTCCTGCACAGCTACCATTTTTGTTTCTGCGTTGGCTAGACATTATGTCGAGGCTTTTATGGTTTGGTTTTTACTACATGATTCCCTCCCTGTTGGGATGTTTCTCGGCGTTTATGCGTTGTTGACGAGGCTTACACTCTGATATGTATATCTTTGGATTTACATGCTCCACTATCAAAAGACATTACAACGTACGACTTTCATTCTCCTTTGTTTTATTATTTCTTTTTGGTGTGAGCGTAGTTCAACAAGCATGAAATATCAACGAGGGACTAGGAAAAGTTGCCCTAGTGGCTAATAGACCTACGCTCTATGGTACCCTGATTACTCACAACTACTTGGTAGATTGAAGTACCAAAAATTATAGAGTTAATCAAGAATCAGTAATCCGTTCATTTGCCAAAATAGTGTAACTTATATACATGAAGTGCACGCTGAGAAAGTCGGCAATGAAAGCAATGTCTCGTCAAATCAAACCAACACACTAGATCCATCACTCTTCTTACAGGCACAAGCACCCGCGTTAGCAGCCACCTGAGTTGGTGTACGCGCAAAGCTAGGAGGCACATCAAGGACTGGGTTGCGGTCAAAGAAGTTTCGCGGGCGCAGAAGAAGTGTCATTGGTTCCGCGGGCATGATTGGGTAGTCCTCTGGCGCAGGGAAATGCGTCAGACCGAAAGTGTGCCAAAGAACGACGTCGGTGTTATCAATCGAGCAGCTGGGACCAGCAGCTTCGATCCACGCAGGCAAGCCCTCTGAGGGTTCGCCTGAGGTCTGTGGGACGTGACGGCCAGCTGGGTGGACTTGATCGTCGTCGTCTGGAGAACTGGGTTAGAAAAGGAAACATTACATAAGAAGGGGGGAATGGCAGAACTCACATTTAGTGACATGGACGGCATGGCGTGCGAATCCTGCTCGCTTCCAGACCAATCCGCCCGCTTTGGGGAGCAGGGGAGGAACATCACGGCTGACCAACTTGTAACTCACGGGCTTCTTGCTGTATGGGTTGAGCTTGTTGGTATTGGCCATATCCCAGGTACGGCTGGTAGATCCGTCATAGTCGGACATTGCCTCGAGAGGTGTGGAGAACTTTGTCTTTTTGGCGTAGAAGGCGTTGCCGTACTTGTTCTCAGCGCTGCCGACTTCACCGGGCCCTTGGACTGCATCTACCTGGAAGACGGTATTGCTCGGACCGTCGATGTTAGGGTCAACACGAAGACAGAACAGGTGCTGGTGGTTGTGGGCGTTCACACCGGGGTATACCTCAGTTCCCCAGCCCTTGGTATCCTCGCCTGGGTTCATGGCGTAGGTGTTGAGGATGCCGGTCAGCTTGATCTCGAGCTGGACTGTGCCGTCCTGGTGGAAGATCCAGTACACGCAGTACTCGTAGTTTGCTGCTGTGAAGATCTGCGAGATGATGAGCTTTCGGCCGCGGGTTACGACCATCGACTCGTCGCGGAAATCGGTGTGCTTGAATAGGATACCGGCATCTTCTTCGTGGATGCAGATGGCGTTCTTGATGATTGTGCTAGCGCCGGCCCGGTTGACGAATGCCGCATCCATATAGTGGATTGCGCCCTTGCAGTCGCATCCAAGTGTCAGACTGTTGGTCATGTATCCGCCGCCGTACTCGCCCAGGTCGAATGCGTGTTTGCGTTGGTGGGGATGCTCAGGGTTGCCATATGGCACGACCATCTCGGCCAGTGAAAGACGCCAGAAGATAGGTCGCACATTGCCCTTGTCGTTGAATGTGATGTTGTTTAGGACAATGCCTTCCCGGTAGTTGAAGCCGACGTGGATGCTCCAGTTCTGCCATTCGATCGTCCGTCCCTTGACCTCGAATGACACACCCTCTGGCTGGGTGATGTGAATTGGCTTGATGTCGGTCCGGTATCCACCTTCTTTCTCGATTGCGGCGGGGTGGTAGTTGTTTGGAAGCGCCTTGCTGACTGGCCTCCGCACAGGCGGCACATCGATGTGGATGATCTGCTTGGTCTCGGAGTTGAAGATAGGACAGAAGTCCAAGGGATAGGTATATTGGGAGTCGTCGGGGTGAGGGCGGTAGTACATGAGGGCTTGCTGAAGACGGACCCCAGTTCCAAATCGCTCATCATATCCAATTGTCCATGCTAGAATGCCATTTGATCAGTATCAAGCTTCGATAAACGAGGGAAGTCCACTTACGGTCACAGTATACTTTATGCATATCCTCCTTGGGAATTCCAATGATACCGCATTGCTCAATGACCTTGGGATCCTTGCGCACAACATGCTCAACCTCCTGCAAGTCTTCCATGGTGATCAGAGGCTGAACGTTCGGTGTGTGCTGCCACTTGATGATCTTCTTCTGGTCCAGGTCAACCACACCATCGTAGATCTTGCCACCAGGTGCAATGGCAACCACATCAGCAGCTCGGGCAGGGCGAGGAGTATTCTCTGGATCAGCCACCCAGGCCATCATCTGGGCCTTGCGGGGCTCGTATAGTGTGACCGCATTGAAGTTGAGCGAGCCATGTTCTTTGCGGACAATGCCAACAACAGTATCAATTTCGACAGTAGAAAGAGGATCAAGGGGATGAGGCGCCGGTGCAGTCGCGCTGACCTGGTGAGTCAATTGCTGTAGTCGGTCGAGAACCATGCTGTGCTAGAGGTACAGGGAAGGAGATGATTTCAATGTGATGAGGTCCAATCCGAGTCGGGAAGTTGCTGGAGAGTCAAAGGCAATAAAGTCACTTGATTCTCCATCAGGTCTGGGCTTGCAGGCTATTTAACAAGCAAGAGGTATCTTCATATGTCCGGATGTACTTGTAGCTACATCGTATACCTCCATCCGATTAGATAAAGCCTATTTGTGGAGGCCGGATCCGAGGACCTGATTGGGGTTAGCGCAATATCTCCAACCTCAAAAGGGCAAAAAGATGCTTGTCTGCAGCTTGATATTGATATCTCTGTATTATTCATGTCGCTTGTCACATCGCGGGGTAGAATCGGAAATGTCGCATGTGAATTCTCAATTGGGAATCGGAGCTTAGCTTCAATGGCGGTCTGCAGCTGCAGACCTGGTCATCGGAGAGGATCCCTAGATATGCCGAGTAGATCTCGTAAGATGATACGATGTACAGCGAGACAAGCCGAAAGAAGCTCAAGAATCTACAAACCGGTCCAAATTTAGCGAACAGAAGCCATAATTCCTATACATAGGACACAGACAGGTCCGATCTAGCTACAAGAAAAAAGAAAGAAAAAGCGACCTAGATCACAAGAACGAAAGGCACAAGGCCATAATAGAGCCTATCAACGCCTCGTAAATGGATTCAAAACCAACCATATCAAACGCCAGGCACCTTCCTGCCCAACACCGTCGTCCAGACGCAAGAACCCAGCACAGGCAACGAAGCCCACGCAAAGCCACAGGCGCGAAGACAATGCCGAATATCGAAGGAAAAGTACACGATGTTCTCGTGTCTATGTACATACATCATATCATATCAACCCCAGGTGCTTCAGGGACTGTGCCTCATACCCGGCCCATTTGATAGGCTCCTGGGGTTGGGGCATTGTTGTAGCCAGCTCCTTGGTGTTGAGGTGTGTGCGCGCCAGCTCCGTGAGACCCAGTATTGGGAGTGCTGGGAGTGCCACCCGAGTACATGGTGGCACCATTGAGGTTCGGCGTTTGCTGGGCCATGTTGTAGGCCACCGCGGGCATTTGTCCGTTGAGGCCCCAGATTTGGCCAGAATATTTGCTATCATCAATTGCCCCTCCGAAAATAAGCTGGCGTGTCTTCCAGTAGATCTCGCCGGTCACTAGGGAATCCGAGCCAGCCTGATGGGCGATTCCAACGCGCTTAACGCCAAGTTCATCTGCAATGTCTTGTAACCCAGATTTCTGGCCTAGGTTGGTCAGAATCTGTGCTGCGGCCTGGGTGAGAGGAGAGCCGTTGACGGCTTGATTGCGACCGGCGTGCTTCATGAGGTACTTAATGTCGTAAAGTGACGGGAAGAAGATGGTGAGAAGCTTGTGGAACTCCTCTTCGTTTTCTGGAAGTTGAGAGCAGAGCATGATCTTCATCAAGTAGCCAAAGTCGTACCCGGAGTGGAAAGAAACCCAGTGAACGTCGTCCAGAAGCACCAATCCAGAGCTAATCAAAAGAGCACCGAATTCAAAAGGATCAATGCCGTTCTTTTCGTGCATGGCGAAGTCGATTCCAGATTTAGCTAGCATGGCTGTTGATTCCTGGGCGTACATATCTCCTTCGAGTGAAAATCGGAAGTTGAACTGCCATGTGCAGGGAGCGGGCACACCATACGCTTGCCCATTGGCGTCAGTGCCTGAGGCCGGAGGAACCTCTCCTTCGTCATTGAATAAAGTGATGCCTAATTGTATCATCTTGAGAAGATCGACATTGCATCGGAGGGTCTGATAATGGTAATCTGCTTTGTTCGAAAATGACCCGATCGGCCGAGCAACGATCCCAGGGAACTCGGTGTCCTAGGTCCTAGTCAGTAAACGCTACTGAAAAGATATTCCCGTTCTGCACGGAGACATCCGTAGTTGGTGCTTACCATGCTGATGTAAGGGTACTTGTCGACCAACTGCCTCAGCACCGCCATCTCATGGGCCAGGTTGTGCTTCCACACATCTCTGATTCTTGACTTAACAGCACCGCCCTTTCCTTCGAGTGCTAACCGACCGTCATGACCCTGGTGTAGTTGCTGCTGTTGCATTTGCGCACCGCGCGCGAATCCCATCTGTGCCGCATGACTGGCCAGACCGGTGCCACCGCCATCACCTGCACCAGCTCCCGGGAAACCGCCCACCGCCATACCATTTGCAATTCCGCCGGAGAGTGTAAAGGGGTTGATGTTGGTGTTCGGATTGCCCGCGAAGCCAGGATGCCCAAGCGAAGGGGGAGGTAGCGTATTTCCGGATTGTGCGTGTGCGGGGTGTTGAGATTGGAGGTGAGCTTGTTGTATGTTGTATGGAGCATTTAGGCCCGATGGCCCATATCTGCCAACTGGAGGTGGCATTTTGTTGTTTCGAGGATGCGCATGGATGAAGTGACAGTTTCGTCCCTCGAAGGCGGGAGAGCTACTTGGTCTACCGTATTCGGTTAGCGCGGGTAATTGCCAAGCACACCTCTTTTCCTCATCTTCGGCTCCTCACTGTGTCACTTTGCGGTTGATTGCGGACTAAGGGACCAAGTTACAGCCCTTTACATCTTGTTTCTCTTTATCTCCGTCTTCCAGTAATATTTACTTCCGGATAACTCCCACAATGCCCGCCCGCAACCCCACAGGTTTCGACCTCGCTCAGTTCAAGGCCGCGGCCTCCCCATCTTCCGTCTGGGCCAAGCGGGATCCATGGGCTCGCAAGTACGTCAAGGGATACCGATGTTAAGCCAATTGTGGTAGGCACTAATATTCTACAGTGAGACCTGGCGCTACACCGGCCCCTTCAGCAGAATCAACCGCTTCAAGGGTCTCTTCCCCGGCTTCGGTATCGCGACTGTCGCTTTCGCTGGCTACTGCACATACGAGCACTTCTTCATGAAGGATGATCACCATCATGGCGACGCTCACCACGGTGACGGTCACCACTAAAAGGTTGTCTCTGGAGACCAATTGAGAATGCCGCCGACCGACGGATCATCGAGCGGAGGACGTATACCCCAGGCGACAGAAAGAGCCGTCTCGCCTCCGCGAGAACTACAACCGGGTTATGGATCATAGCGCCTACAGCTTTACCGGGTCCGTGAGCTTTTGTCGTGTCAGGGCGGAGATGCAGCTTCTCATGGCTCATAAGGAGCATAGCTTCCAGATGGCGCTTTGGGTTTGATTTGTCGAATGTACATAGCTTTTGTTCCACTACCACAACCAGATGTTTCTTTATTTTTCGATCGTCAACTCTACATGGGGTTTCCATTGTATACTATGAGCTGGTTATCAAGGTTGGTTTGGCTTTTGAGCTTCTATAAACACGTAATATCATTATCGACATGAACCCCCACTATGCATGTTTGGGATCTCTAACTTTTTTGTGCTAATTACTCCTCGAATACCAGCGAGATACCATCATCACCGGCAGTGACAATGCGCTTTCCATCCAGACCCTGTACGAAGCCCATAATGCCACCAGCTTGCTCGCCCTCTTCATTTTCCGTGGCACCCATGTGTCCCTTCCACTCCTGCATCAATCCCCGAGAAGCCGCGGCAGTGCCACCGCGTGCGTCCCAACGTCGGACCACACCATCCAGGCCGACAGATGTGAGCATCCAAGAGCGGTTCTGGTGGGCAGCGGGAGCAGCGGCAAGGGGCCCTGAGACAGTTGCACCGAGTTGCTTGTTGCTAGGAAGGAACTCAACCTTGACAACGGCGCTTCCCTCGTGAGCATCTCTAATATGCCGACGGACCGCAAATCGATGAGCTGCATCATACATCACAATCGAACCATCGACAGACCCAGAAGCAAGAAGGGTGAAGGGAGCCTGAGAGAACGACAGTGACTCAATGTTGTCCGTTTGAGTTTGCAATGCGGCCATAATAGTGCCTGCGGCGGTGGAACCGGACTGGGAGGCTGCGCCTTTGGCCTTACCCTTGGTTGCAGGGGCACCTGCTGCGATTCGGGGGAGGCCGACAACTCTAATGTTGCCCTCAGCACCACCCACTGCAGCAATACCGCCGCTGGGGGAAATGGCAATAGTGTAAAGACCACCCTCGACCGCAAAGCGTTGATCCTCCCCATTCAATCCAAGGATGGCATTGGTACCTGGTGAGTACTCGATACCAGCGGCGGCAGCAGCTCCAAATACGTCGTAAACAAAGAAGCTGCTGTCCTCAGAAACAGTTGCCAGCAGGTTTCCATCAGGCGTCCATGCGCCTGCAGTGCATGACTCGGTGTGAGAGAAGAATGTCTGAATGATGGAGATAGGCTGCCCGGGGTCGGTATGATCGATGCGGAAGACCCACGCGCTGCCGTCATTGGAACCGATGGCAATAACATTTTGCGTCCCTTCATTACCCTGCTGGTAGGGACACACGGCCATCCAATTGATCTCTTCCACTTCCTGGACCTCGCCAAAGAACTCCCATGCGAGTCCGGTCTTCTGGGGTGTGGTATCACGATAAGCTCGCAGCTTGCCATCCAGACCAGCCGTAATGGCATACTCTCCTGCTGGCTCGGTGAAAACCACAGCATTCACGGTGTCAGTGTGCCCGTCGAGCTTGGCCAGAGGCAAGAGAGACTCGCGCTCCCTTGGCTGAGGGTTCGATTCATAGCTCGATGGGAGCACGGGGCGCGGTGCAGGGGTTGAGTCAAAGATGTAGGCTGTGTCATCGCCAGAACCGGTCATGACAATGTTGTTGTGAACCGGGTGTTGCGCAACACAAAATACAGAGTCGGAGTGTGAATCGAAGTGTGCCGCTGAGTCGTTTTGGAAAGTGATCTCATCTTCGATGGTCATGTTCTCGTCATCATATTCTCCATCTCCATCCGACATATGCTGATCCTCATCACGATCAAAGATCTCTTCGGCGTCGTCAGCCTGGATATATTCTTCCTCTTCATTCTCGCGATGCGGGTCGTTTGAAGACATTTTTATTTTTTCAGTGTGTGGATATGTGGGAGATGAAAAGATATTTTGAAAGGAGTGATGAACACTCTTGATACTACCCGTTCCGAAACAATATCGAAACAAGAAATTGGTTGTTAAGGCAACTTGAAATGCCCTCAATCTTTTTTCTTTACCTCCCCGCTTAGAAATCCACCACCCCGCGGCAGATTATGCCCCGTCTCTTACCGCTTTATTGACCGCTTTTGTGTCAGCGAGACGCGAAATTGTAGGCGTTAGCTGAATTCACAAGATTGTTTATGAATAATAATATATGGCCACAGTCCTGATTGTAAACTGTTTAATTGCAGATTTGATTGATTTTTTGCATTTTTCTAGGCATTTCAAGGAAGGAAGCGATGAACCCCCTGCAGGAGTCTTACCCATGCGAGCAATGCGACAAGGTATTCGGGCGTAAACACCATCTGAAGCGCCATATCCTAACTCATACTCGCCCGCAACTCCATCTTACTTGTGATCAGTGTGGCACAGCACTGACACAACAATGCTATGACCGGGGACACTCGGGGTCAAAAGAGCACAAATGTCGCTTTTGTCCAAAGTCCTATACTCGGAGGTATGCCATAGTCTCTGTGCTACAGACACTTCCTATCCATACATCGTGCCATTTCTGATTCCCCATAAAGACATAGGCTCGCGGCTCATTTGAGGAAACACCATGAAGGAAAAGGGTTAAAAACAGAGCTCTCGGTTCAGCCGAGTGCTCTATCTCCTCAAAATAACCAAGATCAGAATTCCATCTCATCAAACACACGTACATCACCCTTCCCATTGGATCAAGATAGGACAAACCAAACTACTCCAGGCCTGGCATTGCCTACTACAAACCTGAGTACACAAGATCGGATTAATGTCTCGCATGATGTTATGGAAATATCAGAAGACTCGGAAAATGAGACCAGCCCAGCATCACAAGCAAGACCACCTGCTAATACTACACGTGCCCGTGCTCCTCGTCGCCATGCCCCAGCTTCGGGTGCCCGTGCCCGTGCCCATTCCCCTGCTGTCCCTGCTGCCCCTCATGCTCCGACTGCTCCAACTGCTCCAACTCCGACTGCTCATGCTGCTCATGCTTTCCCTGTTGCTCCCGCCGCTCCCGGTGCAGGCAGCAATTCCAATCTAGTCCACTCCAGCTCCTTTAAGCCAATACACCGGTTGAAATTGTCACTCCCCAGAATGCGGCGTGCAGATGAGCGCTTCTTGTTGCCTGAGTCCAGTTACAACATGATAGTCAACGGCACAATATATACGTCACTTAAAACATTTCTTGTGAGCGTGGGAGAAACAGAAGATGCGACATTTCCATGGTGGAGGGTTATCCAAGACTTTGTGCACTTGTATTTTGAACACTTTGACCATGAATACCCCGTGGTTCACCCATATGCACTAGAATTCGGGCTTGACAAAACCTCAACCTCGTGGATGGTACTTTTAGCAGTGGTCACTGTTGGGAGTCAATATAGCGCTTTCAGCAATGCCAGTCTGTTTTCAGCAGCTTTCGGGGAGATACTGTCTCACGCAATAACACAAAACGTAAGTTCACTCTCGGTGAAGACCCCTACCTCATATTGATTAAATTAGCGACCCCAAGCACCCGAAGCAACAACGTTATCCTATGCACAAAGCGTATTTCTTAGTGACGTCTGCCTGATGTTTGATGGGTCACACAAGGCGCAGTTGAAGCTGCAGTATGAACGAAATGCACTTGTCACATTGGCTCGTGTCTTGAAGGTTGATCCATGCATGAACACAAAAGCGTCACAAGCCCCAAGACACTGGAAAGCCTGGCTGGCAAGAGAATCTCGTATACGTCTACTTCATTGTATCTTTCGTATGTATCCCTACGACAAGCCACGGGAGCGTGACTAACCTTTTATCAGAGCTCGAATGTCTTCAGCTCATTTTATTCGATCGTCAGCCGATATTTGGGCAGCATGAACTCCCCAACGAGTTCCCCTGTCGCCAATCACTATGGTGTCGCCGGAGTGCTGACAATTTCGTCCTTGTATACCAGTCCGATCAAGGTGAGCGAATTTTGTTTGTTATCGGCTCGTTGTCTCCTGAATTAATAGTAAATCTTAGATCTACCACAATCTCCACCCACTCAACTTGATATTAGAAAAGCCAGCGAAAGCATGGCAGGAATGGATGCCTATCGCCGAAATCTATACATGCTGTCCCTTTACAGCGAGGAGAGATTGTTCCTTGACAAAATGTCATATTCTTCCATCTGGAAATCGAGCCTAAGTTCTCAAGTGACTGGTGTGCCTGGTCAGGAGCAATGGGCCCATCTTACATCAACCCCTTCGGCTCTGCGATCAATGATGTTCCGGTCGATGGACGAAGTATTCGCGGCGATTCCCATCTCAGCCAAGCCCGACTATATTGCCGCTCGAGATGTCATTCACCATGTACTATCCCTTCTCCGGTTAGTTTCACTTCATATGCTCGAGTCATTTTCAGGTTGGCAGGGCGATGACTCTGCAGCCGATATGTCAGCAAATAACCTGAAACATTGGATGGAAAACGATGCACCTAGCGCTAGGAAATGTCTGTGGCATGCTGTATGTGTTTACAGCACATTGAAAGCCAAGCAGAAATTTGCCTGCCATGATCCTCTCTTTTTCCTGATTTCTTTCTTCTATATATGGGCATTTGATACACTTGTGGTCGCTCCTGACCTCGAAAAACCGCAAGCTTCAACCAACGAAATTCGCTTGTTAGACACCAGGGAAATTCAAATGTGGATCGCTGAAGGCCCGAATACTCGGCTCAACCTGGTTGGAGTCGGCAATCTGACGGGCAAGGCTAGCGCGTTGCGTCTGGTCAACGAGGTGTGCCAAATTTTCTCAAAACGCAAGTCCTGGGCTGGGCTTTGCCGTGGCCTTGCATCTGCACTGGATCGAATCCTGAGAAGACAGACAGTACCCCAAGGCGTCCCTCAAAGTATCCCTCAAAACATCCCTCAAAATGTCCCTCAAAATGTCCCTCAAAATGTCCCTCAAAATGTCCCTCAAGGCGTCCCTCAAGGCATTCCTCTAGGAGTTCCTCTAGGCGTCCATCAGGGCGCCCCTCAAGGTGACCCTCAAGGCGAACCCCAAGGAGCCCCCCGGGAGATATCCAGAGAGTCTCCCCGGGAGCCAGCGATGGCGAAATGGCCTAAAATCTTTGTTTTTTGCGCAGGTATATTCTTTGAAATAGCGGATTGTCCATTCAGAGCTATGTACTTTAATGATACCCAAAGCCTGTTTTACCTTCGATCGCACATGCCACCGACGTCTCTACTTCGCGGTGCTTGTATCTAATCTAGCAGACGAACTATTCAATGTTTCGGATAATAAGTAAATAAAAATATTGCTGTCCATACCTATCTGACGAGCCAATCGAATTTCAAATGCTTCATGGACCAGTGTTCTCGACAAGTGTTCTCGACACGTCTATGCCGAGGTCTTCAGCTTTAACTCACATATCAATCTGATATTGGCGGTAAATGAGTACTATAAAACAAGCTATTATATTGACAAGGTTGGACCATCTACCGGTGGATCTATAAACTCTTCTGATCACTGGAGTTGAGGCTCCCTGTTTCCAAGGTTATCAGGTGTCTGATTCCAGCTCAAGACAAAAATGGTTCTTGGCGCTTCTTCCAAATTTTCAAGAGACTAAGTTCTAATCAAAGCTATCCCGAACATTTTTAGATCTTGCTACCTGCCTTTCTCCGTGCCTCCTTCTCTTGATCACGGAGCAATCGGCGAAGAATCTTACCACTCGGGCTCTTGGGGATTACATCCACAAATCTGATACCTCCTTTCAACCACTTGTGACGAGCCTTGTGGTCTTCAACATACTTCACGAGAGCTTGAAGGGTTGATTCGTCCGACCCTGCCGTGGGGGACTTGACCACGATAGCCTTGGGGACTTCTCCTGCGCGATCATCCGGAATGGCGATAACAGCACAGTCCGAGACATCAGGGTGGGCGAGGAGATGGGCTTCGAGTTCGGCAGGTGCGACTTGCAGACCCTAAGAATGACGTGTTAGAATGCGAATTTTTCCATCAACCGGTGGCATCACGAACCTTGACCTTGATCAACTCCTTAATCCGGTCGACGATAAACACGTGCTCGGTGCCCTTTGGGCCTACACGAACGACAGCCTCATCGCCGGTAAGCATCCATCCGTCCACGAATGTCTCTTTGGTGGCTTTATCGTTGTTCAAATACCCCAGGACGACACTTGGGCCTCGGACGACCAACTCGCCTGGTGTGTCGTAGGTTGTGATTTCTTCGCCTTCGGGCGTCATAATGCGTGCCTCGAATCCAGGGAGCAACGCGCCGGATGAGCCTAGCCAGATATCCTCGATGGGGGTTGAGCTTACGACCGTGGATGTCTCTGTCAGACCTATGCGCGAAAATGTCAGTCATGTGTCTACTAAAGGCGAAGATAACCACATACCGTATCCTTGGCGGATCAAAACGTTCGGGTAGAATTTGAGGAAATCGGCTGCTGTCTCCATGCCCAGGGGTGCCGCGCCTGTGAAAATACTATGCACGGAGCTCAGGTCATACTTGGAGCACACGTCTTGAGTGCTCAGCATGTGAATGATGATGGGAGGTACCTAAGTGGTTGCGGGTCAGTATTCGACGAAATCTTCTCATCAGCAAAGACATGCTCACCAAGAAGAGCGTGCTGATCTTAAAGTGCTGGATGGCGTTTAGGTAGGATTTCAATTCGAACTTGGGGAGAACGATTGTTTGGTCGCCTCGGTATGCGCCAGCATGGCCAATGACCACAAGGGCATAGATATGGCTCTGCGGAAGGAGTCCAAGAGCAACCTCAGTACTGGCGGGCTTTGTACCCCCGCCATCGCGATAGCTCTGCTCGAATGCTTTGATCTGGAGGGTATTGGCGATCACATTGCGGTGTGAGATCATCACTCCTTTCTTTTTTGCAACACATTATTAGCCAAAGTGTTATTCAAGTTCTTCAGGCCACTGCTTACCGGCATTCCAGATGTTCCACTCGAATAGCACAAAAATGCTGTTCGTCGGGCTCCCTCACCCGCGCTCCATCGCAGCTCATCCACTGACGGTAGAGACTTGCCCGCCTCGATGAGTTCGGAAACGGACTTGTATTCTGTTGGAGGCTTTGCGCCCCCAAGAATCTCCTGGGGTACATCGAGTAGGTAGATTCTGCTCCTCGGGAGACCGGCTTTGGCCGCAGCTTCTAGTGAGATGGACAGGAGAGGAACGCAAGTGACCAGGGCCTTGGCCTTTGAATCAAGCAGCTGATGTGTCAATTCGGCGGCGGAGTATGATGCATTGGCGGGGCTGAGAACACCACCCAATCTGTGCACGGCCCAGAATAGGGGCAAAGAATCGATCTAGAGGGAAGACGAGAGAATAAGCTCCTTGCTATTCGTCCTGATACAGAATTGCACCTACAGCGTTGAGCGCAAACACGGCCAATGTCTTATCCCACTCCGATCCTTCATTCGGCGCCCAACCGAATTCTTTGGACAGACTACGAGCCAGGGAGTCAACACGGTTGGCTACCTCTTGCGACGAATATGATTTCCCGGAAAGGCCGCATGTGTATGGATCCCGGGAGCCCGCGTGTGTCACTCGTCCATATTTCTCATTGAGCATAAATTCGCTGATTGGGATATTGTCGGGGATTGGGCCCAATTGGCCAGACTCCTTTGCAGGTAAAAACACCATTCTTTCCAAGTTCTCGGAGTCGCAGCGATCGGTACAATCTAGGGGGAAATCTCCAAAATATGAAAGTTTAGGTGATGTCGGCTATTTTTAAAACGGTTAGCTGCAGGCGCAATGTATTCAAGTTTTACTCACAGTTTACACGTTTTAGGTGCGAATAAAGGTAAGAACAAAATCAGCTGGGAGATTTATGTGACTTGACCGTGCGGGGAAATCGGTAAACCTTGCGAGAATCACGCTGGGGGATTATACCGCTAGCTATTTGCTTTTAACCGAAATTGGGTAGCCGGTGGCTTAAATTCGCCATGGCCGACTCGGTGGGTATGTTTGCGTGCTTAACAGCTTATAGTTGGCGGAGCTAATGCCAAGACCAGAGATGCCTCGGCCTTTACATATCCGAGGGTATCATCGATGACATGCTACAATATAAGCCTAGTATGGAGTAACTTCAATTGCCTTACACTACATAAGTCGAACTTATGGAAAGCTAGAGTTATCCCGAATATCTTCCCAGAGATCAACAAATTTGTCTCAAGTTCAATGAAACGCAGAATGGCGATATTTAAAGTGGCCTTGGCGTGTAGATCACTAATCCCCATTCACCCGCTTACCCCTTTTGGACTGTGCCGAGATATCTTCGACTACACCACCAATCTTTTTTTGGGGCTATTATCTATAGAATGGATTGATAGCCTGATATAGTTGGACAATATCATGCATCTCACTATGCCGAAGTACACTAAATACTACTTTAGCATATAGGACGAACAAGTTGAATAGGTCTAGATTATGGATTTTGAAGCTTGAAAATCCTGTGCGTTAATAACAGAAAACTATTCCCGTAGCAGTAATATCTTTACCTACATGTCTAAAACAGCTGGGCGACTATCATTACTTCATGGGCGAAGTGACCCCATTGGATTCTGTTTATTTGAATTGAAACACGACAGAGTCGAATGACCAATCTCCTAGTACAAAAGCGAATAGAACAACCTATTATTCACGCTCTACTGTCGTGCAACATGTAGTTAAGGTAAGGTTTCGGAGTGCATATCATTGTTCAACACCTGCATGTGATATATGGTCGATCATTTTGCCCACCCTTTCCATACTCAAGTCCAGTTCATATACAAGCCATCAACAGACGAGAAGATTATGTCTCGAGTCTTCTGCTTATCATAGGCTCAATAGCGTGTATAGCAATATATCTGGGCTCGTGGGTTAAGTGCTCTCATTGAGTTACATACACATAGCAACCTCGGGAATTTCTCGGTGCCCATCTCACCCCGAATTAATACAATCCCATTACTTATAAATTGAAGATCATAATGAGCAATAAGCTCCTTCGAGATCAGCTTATACTATGATGTGATGTCAAAGTTTAATGCCGGCCTCACCCCGACCTCGACGCCGCTCTGGCAAAATATATCTTGGGCCCTCACCTAGCTCCATCATCCTCCTATCTCACACTTCATCCCATCATCTAGCGATTTCCATCCTTCTTCCTCATTGAATGGGTTCTCAAAGCTAATTACTCTTTCAAAAATTATATTGAGCACAATTGAAACATCAATTCACCTTGTATGATGCCATTGAGCCTTCTATACTGTGAGTTTGATTATTGACCTCCACCACTAAACGTGATTCTCTTGGCAGTTATCTCTGTTCTGGGATATGTCTGAGTATGATACTGACTTGATTCATGGCAAATTAGCTTGATTGAACAGCAAGTTGTGGAATATGGCACCACGCCCTGCTGTTAATCGTCGCCAGGCGGTCGAAAGACCAGTGCGGGCAGGCCGCATTGCCAAAACAAAGAAAGAACAAGCAATCAAAAGTGACTTGGCTTTGTTTCACTTCTATTGTGGAATAAAACATGCTAATACCAGATAGTCTCATCGGACCAGCTGGAAGTTGCTGTCAATGACCAAGCTCTGGAGCCAGTGTATGGAACACCCCCAGCCTGGTCAGAGGTATGCCACTACTATTCTGCTATAACTCATATGATCTATATATTGAATTCTCCGCCAGGGTCGCCAACAGCTTTGTGATGCAATTCCATGGTTTCGCTGCACCCAAGGTGCAATGTATCACACCGAAGGTTTCTGCTACGGCTTCCTTATTGATGCCGACGGTGGCACCCGTACCTATATCGATGAGGAAATCATCATTACCAGAATGGAAGTAGTGTGTCTCCGGAATAACGAGCCGCCTGTACTAACTTTTCATCAGCGGTGGCTGCTGCACCAAAGACTCGGGCGGAAACCTGACCCTTGAAAAGAACCAAGACCCGGACAATGCACTTGTTCAAAGCATCATCGCCAGCAAAAATTCAAAGCTTGCTGTTGGTCTGGTTATTGGTATTTTATCAAGGATTATATAAAAGAAGAAACCCGCTGACCATCCTCATAGGGAGCAAGAACAAGATTCTCAACCGACAGCTTCCGCATCGGTACAACATTATGGACTGGTTCCGAATTACCAATGTCTGGTTTGAAAGGATTGGCAAGAAACACGGAGTCAAGGTCCGCTTTGAGAAACTGAATCTCGCGGAAAAGAGCTGGTGGGCGGCGAAGGACTCTCTCCCTCC